TATAACTTATATAGATTGTATTTGTGTGTTCTCTAATGCTATGAATAAAATTGTTTAATTGCTGTTTTTGATTTTTTATGTTTCCAAATGCATTGCAATTGCAGGTAGTAGCTACAAGGAGTCTATCTCTGGGTTGCCACGCAAATGTTCCACCTTTGATCTTACTTTCTCTTGCAACAAGCATTGTCAAAACCCTGTAATTACAGAGATATAACCCTTAAACTTCACAATTATTCTGTGTTGTGTTAGAATTTTAGTATTTTACTTTATCCAAATAGATTCTTTAAATAAAATTGGGCTTTTCTTCAGTGATTCAGTTTAGCTTCGAAGAAGGCCCAAGCCCATTGAAATACAAAATCGTTTGAAACATAACCGGACATAACACATGTCTTGTCCTAACTCGACGAAGCTACTCATCATAACCAAATTAACTTCTATCTTTGTGTGTGTTTCCTCGTACATTCTTCATCTTTACTTTCAGCTAGGGTTAAGAATCCGATCTCAATGTCGATCACCGTCGGAGAAACCTCCCTCCCAGACCTCCCAGTCTTCTTCACCATGTTCCTAATCATCTACCTCATCGCTTACCTCCTCGTCTTCCGCAATTGGAAACCTCAAATCCGTCCCGAAGCTTCAAGCTGTCTGATTTCAATCTTCCACGGAACTCCCGCCGTCTTCCTCGCCTCACGCGCCCTCTTCTCCTCCCCTTTCTCCTTCTCCTCCGCCAACACCGCCTCACAGAACACCGTCCTCGATTTCAGCGTCGCTTACTTCCTCACCGATCTCCTCCACTACATCGTCTTCTACCCTAGCGACGTCCTCTTCATCGGCCACCACGTGGCCACTCTCTTCGTCTTCCTCACGTGCCGTTTCCTCGTCTCACACGGCGCCTGCGCCATCTTAGGCCTCTTGATCCTCGCGGAAGTCACAAGCGCGTGTCAGAACGCGTGGACACTCGCCGGAGCGAGGAAGAGCGATCCGGAGTCTAGATTGGCAGTGAAAGTGTATGACTTGTTGTCACCTCCGTTTTACGCGTACTATAGTGTGGTTAGAGGAGTGTTGGGGCCTTTGTTTTTTGGGAAGATGGTTGCTTCTTACGCGAGAGGGGAAGCTAACGGTGTGATACCGAACTGGTTGTGGGTTTCTTGGGCTGTTGTTGTTGGAAGTGCTATTACTGTTAGTATACTTTGGATTTGGAATCTGTGGATAGAATGGTTTAGAGAAAGGAAGGCTAAGTTAGGACAAGACAAGAAGGTTAGGTAGTTTTGTCATGATCTATTGTTTTGGCTTACTTCCATGTACTATAATAATAATTGATTTGCGTTTTGGATGAGAAGTATGTGCAGATGCACTTTTAATTCATGTGTGTTATATGGTTCAGAAGTTTGTGACATTCATTGGTCTTGGTCAAGTTTTCTGCTACACTTCTCTTGGTTTCTTGATATTGCTGAGAATTTGTAACTGTGCAAGACGCAGTGGGTAGGGTGTTTGAATAGGCCATAGGGTTGCTTTATAAGTGTGCCATTCTTGGTGAGTTATAATATTACGAACCAGTATTTTCTGTTTACACTTTACAACATTAGATAACTCTGATTTTGAATAGACTTGCCCTCTGTGTTTTATGCAATATGTCCAACAAGTAATATGAGAATCTTGTGTGTTCCGTGGTGGCCTTCTTGTCGACAACCAGGTAAGATTGACAGTCCTGAGAGGCTTAGCATCTCAGGTTCGTGTGCAGTCATATTACTAGTTAGTGTGAGTTTTAGCTTAGAATCCTCCTGGTTGGTAAATGGTAACTCAAGGTGAGGTTTAAACTTGTTCAGTTAAGTCCACCACTACAATTTTCTGATTCCTCAGGATCAAACTATCAGCCAAGGGATAATTTTCTCTTTCTTTGGACATGATGCAAGGGATCTTAAACTGTAAATCTATACTGGTAGTAGCACGTTTGTTGAAAGCAGAAGAGTGTGTCGTGGCTTAAGAAAAAGAGGTCAGACCAAACACAAGTCGTGCTGGAAAAGAAAGAAGTAAACAAGTGATGACTACTACTTTTCTGTTGGAAGATGATTAGATGAGATCACGTCTTTTGCTCGACTTACCAACGAAAGAACACTGTATAACAAACAAACAAACCTTATAATTCATGGTGGACTATCATTCAATCATGTCACATATATATATCAAAATCAAATTCAAGATAATAATAGAACACACTCCCTGATGATGGACCCAAGATCTAGGAATAACTAGTATGAGCCTATATATCGTCCCTTGGGCCTTATCGACCGAGCCTAATACTGTAAATTAGTGTCCATATAATCTAAATACGACCAATATCATCACATTTCTCTAGTCTTTGATTTTGATAATTTTATAGTTCACCAACATCGACCAAATTTTTTTTGAATGTTTCAAGGTTTTGGATTTTCTCTGGCAACTTTTTGGCCGAACACTGAATAAACTATCATTCAGTTAACTCTTTATCCTATTGAATAGTCAAATACTTATATGAGATGACGAATTCAAGGTAGAATTTTTTGTACATTCCCAACAGTAATCTAGTGAACAGAAAAAGTTTCAAAATTCAAAATTTAAATGAAAGTTTCTCTTATATAACCTAGATTTTCATAAATAAATAAATTATATGTAATGTAAGGCTGTCTTATGATTGAGAACATAATGAAGTGTCAATCTCTATGATTTAATTTTTGGAATCTCATTCAATAGTTTCCAACATCAAAATGTTAATAGATGTTTCTCTTAAATAACCAAGATGGGTTTAAATAAAAGTAAATCATATATGTCACTCTGTCTTTATCATTTATGGCCATATATGTTTAAGATTGGCAACATAATGAAGTGTCAGTCTATGATTTAGTTTTTGGAATCTCACTCAATCATACATACGCAAAGAAAGAAAAAACTCTTACCGCTCTGTACGTCTCTATACAACGTACATTTCTCAAAAGCGAGACACAACTCTTCCGACTTACGGTATAAACGCGATACAGGTGATTATCGTCTCCTCTTATTACCAATAGCCCATGACACTTTGTCACAACCTTGTCTCTTTCTCTCTAGCTTCTTCTTCTTTCTCGTCATCATTTGATTATAGAAAAGCTTCATAAATTTTGACTCTTTGCGATCCCAGTCTCCTTAATCATTTTGTAAATCTCCAAACTCTTTCAATTTCAACTTGTGCGAGCTCCATTGATGTAATCCATTATTGTCTCCTCTTCTTACCAAACTAAAATCAAACTCTAGAAAGAAAGAAAAAAAAAATCGTTTCTTTTTTTTTTGGTGAGAGGGAGGGAAATGCCAAGCGTAGCTGTGAAACTCTACAGCGTCTTCTTCAAGCTACTCCTCAAACACCGTCTCCAAAACCTAATCTCATCTCCACCCGCCAACACGTCACCGCATCCCTTCGGCGTCTCCACCCGCCCCGACGAATCCGTCGCCCCTGCAAGCCCTTCCTTCACCGACGGCGTCGCGACCAAAGACATCCACATCGATCCCATGACGTCACTCACCGTACGTATCTTCCTCCCCGAATCCTCCCTCTCTCCCTCCGAGCTACACGTCGAGATCCGATCCGATCGGAGGAGACATAGCCAAAGCCACGTCATCCCTCTTAACCACCAGACCTCTCCTGAGAGAAACGAGCCTCGAAGGAACAGCTACGGAGGATACGCGCCGTCGAGTAAGAGGAGTTCACGGAAAATGCCGGTGATGTTGCAGTTTCACGGTGGAGGTTGGGTTAGTGGGAGTTCGGATTCTGTGGGTAATGACTTGTTTTGTCGGAGGATAGCGAAAGCGTGCGATGTGATTGTGTTGGCGGTGGGGTATAGGCTTGCTCCTGAGAATAGGTATCCTGCTGCTTTTGAGGATGGAGTTAAGGTTTTGAATTGGCTTGGGAAGCAAGCTAACTTAGCTGATTGTTGTAAGTCTTTGGGTGGTAGAAGGGTTAATGGTGTTGAGTTGAAGAAAGTGAATGTTCAGGGAGGACACATTGTTGATGCTTTTGGAGCTTCTATGGTTGAGCCTTGGCTTGCAGCTCACGCTGATCCTTCCAGGTTTGTATTTTTTAGTGTTGCATGTTTATCTTCTTGGTTTCACCAGTTTTGTCAGCTTGCGATGGTTAAAGAGAGATAAAGTATCGGTTAAGAGAAGCCTAGAGTTAGTTGTAATCAACCATAGTATGCTTTTCTAAGTGTGTTTAATGCCCACTTCAAGAGTTTGATGCTTGTTTGCAGAGGTTGGTTTCTGGAAGTTAGACCCGTTTAGGCAGATGAGATGTTTAGAATAATTTTGAGTTTATCTATGGAGAAACTAAGGACCAAAGTAATGGTTTTGTGTAGAATAATTTAGATAAGCTTATCTTATATTGCTTGCAATCATACGTTATGAGTTGTTCCTCAGTTTTTTTTTTTTGCTTATATGACTTGAAACAGATGTGTTCTTCTTGGGGTGAGCTGTGGTGGGAACATAGCAGACTACGTAGCTAGGAAAGCAGTGGAAGCTGGGAAACTTCTAGAACCTGTTAAAGTTGTTGCACAGGTTCTAATGTACCCATTTTTCACCGGGAACAACCCAACACAGTCCGAAATAAAGCTAGCAAACTCTTACTTCTACGATAAGTCTGTCTCTGCTCTCGCCTGGAAACTCTTCTTACCAGAGAAAGAGTTCGACTTTGACCACCCGGCAGCAAACCCACTTGCTCATAACCGGAGTGGACCACCTCTGAAGCTAATGCCTCCAACTCTTACGGTTGTTGCTGAACATGACTGGATGAGAGATCGAGCCATTGCTTATGCAGAGGAGCTTAGGAAGGTGAACGTGGATTCTCCAGTTTTGGAATATAAAGACGCGGTTCATGAGTTTGCAACACTTGATATCCTTCTCAAGACTCCTCAGGCACAGGCCTGCGCTGAAGATGTTGCTATTTGGGTCAAGAAATACATTTCTCTCCGTGGCCATGAGTTCTCTTACTAAGAGTTTTACCCTGTTACTATTATTTTGTTACTCATTATCTTCCTTTTTGTATGTAGCAAGGTTTTGTGATTAGAATTAGAGACGATTCAAGACTTTTGAGTCTTTTTGGTTTAATGATGTATTCATATGTACTTATTCTGAATATAAACCGTCTTGGTGCCATCAGGTTTGTGACATTAGAAGCACTAGAATGCATCTCCAGGAACGGTATTAAGTTGAACTTTTACATGATATGGAAAGGTCTCATGATTCGAACCAAGTCTCAGGGATTACACAAATCAAATTTCAAAAAGAGAAACTAGACAAAGTAAAAAGAGTATTACAGAAGAACAAGATTGACATCAAAGATCAGATGTGTTTATAGTTACTTGGAAACTTTCTTCTTGCCAGCAATAGCAATTTTCTTACCCTTAAGAGTCCTACAATTATTCTTGGTTCTCTGCCCACGACATGGTAGCCCTTGGATGTGCCTTACCCCACGGTAACACTGAATCTCCTTCAACCTCTTGATAGCAAGCGCATTGAATCTCCTCTGCACAAAAGAGAAAATAAGAGACTAATTACACAACAAAATTGTTGTACAACAAAACTTTTACTAATGAAGATTAAAAAAAAAAGTAAAGAGAGTCAGAGTACCATACCAGATCACCCTCGATCATATACTTGGAGACTTCATCACGAAGCACGATGAGCTCTTCCTCAGCCATGTCTTTAGTAATCTTGTTCTCCATCTGGAGATCAACAAGTATCTGACGAGCCCTGGTTCGACCAATGCCATGAATGTACTGAAGAGAGTATTCAATCCTCTTGTTACTAGGAATCTCCACACCTCCAACACGAGCACATCTGATGCTTAAACTCTGCTTCTGCGTTTAAACACAAAGGAACGAAAAGTTGAGAACTTTAAATTTTTTTTTTTTTTTTTGAGAACTTTAATTACACAACGAACATACGCACGAGAGAGAAAGAAAAAGACTTTGAGAAGTTATTACACTGGGAGCGTTTGAAGGTGGGAGAGCAATAGTGTTGCGAGTGAGAGGATTTGGTTTTGTCCAGTTGCAAATGAGTGAGAGCGAGTTCGCTACGGGCATCGCTACCATCTGCGCCATTTTTTTCTCTCTGTTTACTCGACGAAGAAGATGAGCCGAACGGATAAGGCAAACGTCTCGTCTCTGTTGGGCTCTTTCAATGTAATTTATAAAATGGACTTCTTTTATTGGGCTTTACAGGTCCATGGTTTCACACCTATTTTTCTGCATTTTTCTTCAATTATTTAATTTTCTATGAATATTTTTACTGATCCAGAATTGAGTAACAAATAGCGAGAAAGAGTAGTGTTGGAGATGGAGAGATTGTAGAAAAATGGTAGGAGGATAGATGCAAAGTCAGCGGAGAAAAACACACATGAATGCGCACCTTCTCTTAGTTTGTTGACTCATAATGCCCATTCTTGTAGCTAGGCATGTTTTGTTTGGGCACACTCCCATTTTACTTCATTTATATTTTGGATATATATATATATATATATATATATATATATATAGATTTATATTTGACATATTTTAATTTGAGTAAAAGGCTATAAATTAACTATTTTATTACTAAAAAAATTTGTTAAGCAAACATGCTTAAACGAGCCAATTAATTGGGTAGTACACAAAAATGAGAAGTCCTAGAACGAAACTGGAAATGAGCTGATAACAACATGCTCTAGATAACAGAGCGAAACCAAACCCTAAGTTATAACTAGCTTCAGTGAAGCCAAGCCTTCCCGATTGATGTTCCGAGCAATACTATATTCCTATGGCCTGAGTTGTAGAGAGTTTGAACTTGCACTTTCTAGCTAAAAGCTGGCCCCAATCAATTAATGCGATCAAGGTATATATATATATCCGTGATAAAACTTAGGCTCTAACTGGTAACCATCACGGGAATATCAGGAACGAATATGAATAGAATAGAAGGGAATAAAATTATGGGAATGAAGAGGAATAACTATTCCTTATCAAATTTAATAAGGAACAAATGTGCTTAATAAATTTCTACAATAAAAGGAATGAGAAGGAATAGAAAGGAAAAACTATTCCTTATGAATGGTAAATTATTTTAGGAACATTAAGGAATGCATTGTTCCTCCTTATTCCTTTGGTCACCATTTATAGCCTTAGAAAGAGTAAAATGTTTTATTGACAACAATATCATGAATCATGATCACAATAGAAAACCGCACTCATTGAATTTAATTACAGAAAAAACGTTACAATATCTGAAGAACAAAGCACAGGGAAGAGATGCAAACAATCGGAAGAAAAAAACAGGAATACATTTTAGAATAGGAAAGACAAGACACCGACCGATGCAGTGACAATCAGCTGCGGAAATGCGGAGAAAGTGGCAGCACCTGGAGCCGGAGCAGAAGCAAGGGGTGCCGGACCAGGAGCGTGATCATGATCGTGGTCATGTTTCTGTGGCCCCGGAGCATGAGCGTTGTCATCATCATGATCGTGGTCATTTTCATGTGTCCCCGGAGCATGAGCGTGGTCATGATCATCGTCATGTTTATGTGGCGCCGGAGCATGAGCGTGGGATCCATGTGGTGCCGGAGCATGAGCGTGGTCATGGTCGTCTCCGTCGTCGGACGCCGCATTCATGACCATCACTGCCAAGACAAGGCAGACCAAGGCAACGCGAATGGAAGAACTCCTTGGTGCCATTCTTATATGTTCTTTATTGGTTGTTCAATGTAGGATCTATCAACGAAGGGAACTGTGTCTATATAGAGAGATTTTTCATAAAATATGTTTTGAAAGTCAATGCATAAGAGTGCACCTAAACGGCATGATAATTGATGATCAGTAACAAAGGTGCGGTTCGATCTTTTGAGTTTGGTCTTGAAATGGTCCGACTACACTGATGTTTTCATTATTGTTTACTTATAAAATATGTGTCTCGTACCAAAATTTGACTTGAGTGGTGGATTAAAATTGCTCCGTCCGGCCTGTGGTCTTTCCATTCACAACATCATGTGGTCATTAGGTCGTGTTATCATTACATTAGATATTTTAAAATGAAAGTCCTATAAGGAACAGCGATATGATGAACATGGTGATGGGTATGAATTTGTTAGTACTAAACACCCATTTATTTTATTTTTTTATCCAATATATTTTAAAAAAAGAAACAAAATATTGTCGAGTTATATTATGTTTAAAAAAAAAACAAAACATGGATGGCCATTTATGTTTAAGGAGCAGTTGTTACTTCGTCCCCTAATAATGAGGAAGTTCATGGATTCACTTCATATGATCAACATTTAGGTTCACCAATCAATAAGATTACATTATTTTATATCCAATATATTTTAAAAAGGAAACAAAATATTGTCGAGTTATATTACTATCAAAACACGCTAAATCTTAAACCTTAAAACCCTTCTGTAAACCCTAAACCCTTGGATAAATCCTTGACTTTTTTAAAAATATTTTTAATACCGTCAGTAAATCACTAAATCATAAATCCTTGGGTAAACTCTAAATCCTTGTATTAATCATAAATCCTAGGGTTTAAGATTAATCTAAGGGTTAAGAATTTACTACAAGTGTTTAGGATTTAGAGTTTAGAATTTAGGATTTAATGTTTTGCCGACGATAGAAATGTTTTTTTTTTTAAATGTTTGCAATTACTATTATTTTTTATTTTTTTTTTATTTTAAAACATAATATAATTTAATAATATTTTGTTTCTTTTTTAAAAAATACTGAATATGAAATAATGAAATACTATTATTGGTGAATCAAAAATTTCTCGCTAATAACCAGGAACTGACAAACAAGATCGAACTGTACTATAGCACACCTACACCAAGGTATCAAAAATCGACAAACAAGATTTTGTGATTAGGATTAGAGACGATTCAAGAATTGAGTCTTTTTTTGGTTTAATGATGTATTTAAATGTACGTATATTCTGAATATAACCTTCTTGGTGCGATCAGAAATTACCCATATATCATAGCTCACGACTAAAACCTACAACAAGTAAAAAAAAACTGGAAAATAGGTTATAGCAACATGACACGTGTAATATGTCCTAGATAACATAGCAAAATCATAAAACATACCCAAGTTATAGATTAGTTCAATAAACCTTGAGTGAAGAAGCCAAGCCTTCGCGATTGATCTTCCGAGAAATATTCTTAGCTATAGAATTGGATGAGAGTTTGAACTTGCACTTTCTATTTAAAAGTTGGCACCAATTAAGTAATGCGATCAAGGTATATATGTCCGTGATAAAACTTAGAAAGAGAAAAAATGTTTTATTGACAACAACAACATCATGATCACAATACAAACACCGCACTCTTTGAATTTAATCGTAGAAAAAGCATATTACAATATTCGAAGGAAGACATTTAATGATAAACTCGGACCAAACAAATCGGAAGATAAACAAAAAAAAAAAAAAAAAACATGTTTTAGAAGAGGAAAAACAAGACACCGACCGAAGCAGTAACGATCAGCTGCGGTAATGCGGAGAAAGCGGCAGCACCTGCAGGCGGAGAAAAAGAAACGGGTACCGGAGCAAGAGTGTGGTCTTTTTTATGATCGTCATCGTCGTCATGCTTACGTGGCGCCGGAGCAGGAGCGTGGCCATTTTTACGCGGGCTCGGAGCAGGAGCGCGGGGTGCACGTGGCGCTGGAGTATGAGAGTGGTCATCGTCGTGGTCATCATCGTCGTCATGTGATGGCGGAGGAGGAGGTTGGGATACATGTGGCGGAGGAGGAGGTTGGGGTGCATGTGGCGGAGGAGGAGGTTGGGGTGTATGTGGCGGCGATGGAGTATGAGAGTGGTCATCATCGTGGTCATCATCGTGGTCATCGTCGTGGTCATCGTCGTGATCATCGTCGTGATCATGTGATGGAGGAGGAGGAGGAGGAGGAGGAGGTTGGGGTGTACTTGGAGGCGATGGAGAATGAGAGTGGTCATCATCGTCTCCGTCGTCCGACTTCGCATTCATGACCATCGCTGCCACGACAAGGCAGACGAAGGCAATGCGAATGAAAGTACTTCTTGGTGCCATTCTTCTATACTCTTTTGGGCTTTTTATTTGTTGTTCAATGTTAGGATCTATCAATGAAGAAAACTGGGTTTATATAGAGAGTTTTTGCATTTAAAAGTCAATGCATAAGAGTTCACCTTAAACGGCATGATAATTGATGAGTAACAAACGTGCGGTACGGTCTTTTGAGTTTGGTCTTGAAATGGTCCGACTATACTACCATTTTAAATTAAATATTTTCAATATTGTTTACTTATAAAATGTGTGTGGTACCAAGATTTGATTTGAATGATGAATTAAAATTGCTCCGTCCGGCCTGTGGTCTTTCCATTCACAACATCATGTCATTAAGGTCGTGTTATCATTACATTAGACATTTAAAAATTAAAATCCTATAAGGGACAGTGATGTGATGAACATGGTGATGTGTATGAATTTGTTAGTACTAAACACCTATTTAGATGTTCATCTATGTTAAGGAGCAGTTGTTACTTCGTCCCCTAACCAGGAAGTGATAAACAAGATCGAACAGTACTATAGCACACCTACACCAAGATATCAAAATCGACATAGAATTATTGAGAAGTTAAGACGTTGGAAGCGTTTGCAGCTGGCTGAGTCTTGTCAAATTGCAAATGAGTGAGAGCAAGCGCCAGTCCATCACAACCATATGCGCCATTTTCACTAAAGTCTATAATCAACACATGATCAGAATGAGGTATAATTGATTATTTGTACGTGATTGTAGTTAAGTTAAAAGTAACTCGAATAATTTTTATTTTACGGTCTAAAACATATCTGAAATTCTGTATGGACCCTTCTGTAGTCTAATGTCAATCACGCCGTGTGGCCTGTTTAATTTGTTACATAAATGAATTTATGAAGATTAGAAAATAGAATTTTGCTGATAATCATAACACGATAACTTTTCTATAATATACGAATAAGTTGTCCTAAAATCATTCGATGAGTGACAGATGAACTGTTATTTTAGTATTTTATCCGTCTGTCATCTCAACAAATATATAAACCACGGTGCAAAAGAGTCAGATTGTATAAAAAAATGGTTAGTGGAGAG